TCCAAAAATAAGATTCGAGCATTATTATCCCGTGCAACCACGTGGTGAAACATTCAATCATGAATAGGCCGCCATATGTCTTGGTAAAAAGCTCTAGAATTACTGCAGCCAAGCAGGATGAATGCTGTACATATTATAGTCGGGCTCATCATTCCAAGGGAGACCTTACCGTGATGTTCCCGCATGTAGATTATGGCACTCTGACGAGCTCACGCGGGCTTTATCCTTCATCTAACCCTGATATTTCGTTTCATGATTCCTTCCATCTTAACCAAAATGTCGTTAGTCCCAATCTCTACACCGAAGACTTTCGGAGAACCCGTTGGGACTCAGTGATCACTGATATCTAGGAATTTTCAATGGTCCGTTGGCTACGTTGAACTCTGGACGCTGCCCGCTTCAACACGAAGCATACATCATCAAGCGCTTCACTTTGAGCAACTCAATAAACGAACTTAGTAACTGGAATGAATGATATTCGAAATATCTCTCTCAGTCGACTGAAAATTTGGGCCAAAGTCGATTGAAATTTCATCGGAAAAGCAGCATCAAACGGATCATCACAGCTGACATGTTAGTTACACTCCCGGCCACAGTATTGTTCCATGCAGATTTTGTGTTATCTCCAGGGAAGAAACAGAATCGATGTTGCGAAAAAGTGATGTCATATTAGTAAACTTGCTCAAAGTCTTGTAACCCTTATTGTTGGTATTCCTATCACAGGGATTGGTTCGAACCGTGGGTGACGAAGAGGTCAAAATCGATATATATTTAACTTCTGCGTGAAGGTGTAAAAGGGAGGTTCCAACCGTAGGTTGGGCAGACCGTGGATCTCGTAAGTACGGTCTGTAAGTGGCCCTGCGCGGGCCCCCTGGCCTCGAGGTCGAATTGGACTTCCAATCCGACACTTATCTCGTTATGGAATCGAAGCACCCGAAGACAGCGATGCATCTCGTCCAACCGAATCAGCCAAGTCGACAACTTAAGCAAATGATTTTCAGAACATTGCCCTTGATCAAATTCACGTTGACGTCTAAGATTGGCTAAGCTGGGAACTCAGATAGTTGTATTCGATTGTGGTTGTAATTTATGCCTAAACGGCTCTCTTTTCCTTTCTAAAACAACCATGGGTATTTCAAGGATTGTTTCGTGCCTAGGCCGTCTTTAGTCGATTCGATTGAACAAATAAATAACAGTCGGATTCACCAATTCTCATAAAATGGCCCTCAGTCAAGTCAACTTGATTGTCAAAGTTGAGTTGATTGTCTTAAGTTTAGCGCTGTCTGGATCTGAGCAATTACCGGTTTTCGTAAGCTCGGCTTGCTTGAATTGAAACTCAAGGTCTTTCTCACACATCATCGCCATGTATTCTTACGCAATCACTTGTGAGCTGCAAACACCATGAAACAAGTCGGCCCGGTTTTGATGCTGATTGCCTAGCCCGTAAATTCATAGCACGTGCATTGATAGGACGTTTTCGGCTGCTCGGATAATTGACATCCGCGTCTAGACAAAGGACAGCCGTAAGTTTCCGACCGCGAAAAGTTACATGCGACTTGGCCTCTCCAAATCTTCAACTCAATTCCGGCAACATGAGTCGTTCGAGCATCGACTATCCACCATCGAGTTCGCTCGACAATCTGCCTGCAGATATACTTCTGGGGATCATTTCTTTCCTCGAATCCTTGAGCGATTTGAACGCGCTCGTCAACGCGTCTCCGTCGATGCGGAGATTCTTCGTAGCGGAACGACGGCGCGTCATCCGCCAGATTGTCCATCGCGATGCTGCTCCTTTGCTCAAAGATGCTGTGGCGCTTGCAGTCATTCCGAGAGTCGGCCAGTCTCGCGATTATCATACAATGGAGGTCGTGAGCGTGACCAAGGCGTATGCGAGTTTTCGAGAACACCTCGACTCAAATACAGCAAACATATCCGCCATATCAGCTGATCATTTGATCTTGGCTACGCAATGCGACTTGGCGGCTCGGAACTTTGTCTCTCTGTACGCCACAGTCCAACAACATCAACTGCGGACTGTGGATCCAGAGGCAGCCAAGCCACTCACAAAAGACGAGCAAGACCGCCTCGTACTCGCTTGCTTGCGGTATCAGTTGCTTACACAAGTTTGTCGCGACCGTGTGAGTGAGGAGACAACTATAGAACTACGGACGATTTTGAATCATTGCTTCACACCTTGCCAGATGGAGCAAATTGCCGGGATTCACGACTTCGCAGGCAAATTACACCAGTTTCTCGTCACGCACGATGGCCCAACAGGGTTTGATGCGCAAAACATACATGAAATCTACGATATTACAGCATTCCGACAGATACTCAGACATGCACTCACTATGGATCAAGAAACCATCAAAGTCTTCGCTGCTGCGTTGTCATATCTAAAGTGCGTTTCGGATCATCAAATTCTCAGAGGAGGTCACCAAGTACCCAGTAGCTACATCTTGGAGTACTTTCCAGTGGTGACCTCACAGCTAGATTTGACCCTTCACGCACTCTTGTCCCACGAGTACGAGATTAGACGCCTGCGAGATGTGATCTATGGCTACGAAAGAAGACTGCCGGCCATCACCGCTGATGGCTCGGTGATAGATCCTTCATTCGCTTGGGTCGATGCAAACGATGGCTTAGATTGCCGTCGCTGGGGCTCAGAGTTGCTGCGAAATTCCCCAGATCATGTGGGCATAGACAGCATGCGATTGGACCGAGTGAAAGCCACTGTGGAAGCATGGAGGCAATTTGGCCTCTTGTATTGGGACCAAGACCGCGTTCAGATTTTGAAAAGGTCTTTGTTGCAGTATCGAACGGGGTGGCTTCGGAATGTGTGGGACCGAGCTGATGTCTTTTAGCATATTACAACTTTTGAGCGATACGACAATATTGTCGAGAGAGATAGATAGTAGACTAGAGCAAAGACTTTTGTTTCCAGAGGCCCTCGGTCACACTAGTAGATGACTTCACATTTGTACGAATCAGTCATTAATATGATTGAAACCTGCTCGAATGGGGCCTTCTGAATGGTTGCGGTTCAAGTGCCCGGTCGGAAAATTATTGCTGGTCAGTATCTACAGGGGAGCACTAATGGCACTAGCTTGCGGTTGCCAACGGTTGCCAAGAACGTGGTGTATTGACGTTGCCCCAGACTCTGCACCCAAGACTTCAATGCAACCATTTGTGAAGTGTCTGGGGTATTGCAACCTTCCAGCCTCATAAGGCCATGGTACATGTTAGCTACTTTTCAACATGTTGAATATATCCAATTACTGCGCATGGCAATATGATCTTCTGCTAAGATCGTTGCCGGCGTAAGCAGGTTTGCAAAGAAGAGCACCGTACCTGCAATCTGCTGTCTTGGGAAAGCCAGGTCAAGTTTGGACAACATCAAAGCATGTTGAACCTCTCCTTCACCTCATCTCACGAATTTGTGCCATTGCTAGGGGGTGTGCTCTTCACTTCCTTACTAGTAAGCGGACGCGTTCTTGTTCACAGGAGGTGAACACACTTATGCAGCAAGTCTAGATGCCGAACCTCCCGATTTCCTCTTCCAAGTTCTCCCAGTTCCAAAGATTCATCGCCCCCCTTCTGGGGATTTGCCAGCTTTATACTTGTAACATTCATCTTGTTGCCCAATTGCTCTGTTAGCTTCGCGATTCTCATCTTAAAATACACAAGTAGTTACGCGACGTCGGCGTTGCCGTAGAAGTTAATCGCGTTGGTAACTCGATGCAGCGCTGCATTGTTCCATCGAGCCGGAACAAGAGGAGCCGTATTTTTGCCGAATAAATGCTCATGGCTCAAACTCAATGTCGTGCTCCGAGCTCGCCTCGTCTTTCTCTCCGCTGACAGGAGCAATAAAGTCGCCGAGTCGTCAGGCACAATCGGACCTAGGGCCGAATAATATTGACCGGGACCCACACCGCGCGCCGCGCGGGCGATGACATGAAGTTAAGACAGCTAAGCCTTCTTCTTTACCAATGGAGCCATTCTTGATTTGAGATGGATTGCAAAGATCACGTTTAACGTTTCGATTAAAGTGAAATCCAGTTCTGCTTCGGTCACTGCTCGAAGACACCAGTGCTCAAAATCCTCAGAGTCCCTGGACTCCAGAATGAGTAGGCCTTCTGCCGTCGAGTCAGTGACCCAATGAAGCAGGGCCGTCAGCCCGTCATCATCAGGCGAGCCGGTCTCATCAACATATGTGGCCCTTGCTCGGAAAGGCTGTTGTATCCGCTGATAAAGCCAACAACGCAGTGGATTGGCGCGGGGACGTGGCGGGTCGAACCACGCGCGCCGCTTACAAAGTCCGAGATATCATGTCTACATAATAGCTTTAATCATTCAACTGATCAGCAACATATCTTCCACATCGATTGATGCACGGTGGAAAGGCCAAAAAGACGTTTCAGTGACGATACAGCTGTTTTCTTAGCATTGAGCTCACCGACAGGTTGATGCTCATAATCACAATGTTGTATAATTAACTTTCTCACATCGTGACGAATGACTCGCTGGGTGCACATGTTCAGTTCGCCTTACAGGGGTAAGGCTTCGAGACTCAGAGTTCAGTTAAGTCAAAAGCCAATTCCCCAAGCTAAGGTTCGCGGTCATTAGCTACAGGATAATAGCCCCCACAAGTAAGAATGAAGCTCATTTCCTACATGCGATGAACTCGGGAACCGGCGAACAGTGAGAAATCTTAATTGATGAGACCATCTCCGGATTCGTACCATCTGGTTGGGACTCGGCATTTTCGGGTGTTATTCGAGAACGATTTAACCATGCGTGTTCTGTCTCAGCGCCGTAGGTGGACTTGTATATAGGCCGTGATCGTCGCTTTCTTCCTCTGGCTCCTATTTTGCTCTTATCAACCCACTTTGTCACTCTTTCACAAGCTTGCATACCACCTTGACTTTCTAAGTCTGTCCACTCTTTCTAGCACGAATAATCACCAATAATCTCTTACCTAATCACCACCAACCATCAAAATGCAGTTCTCCATCTTCACGGTCATTGCCGCTGCTGCCAGCTTCGCTGCTGCCCTTCCCGTATGTCACTTACAGAACTGGCCTTGACTTTGGGAAATAGCTAACAGAAGTTCGTAGACGGCCACCTCCGCTGCCCCTGCCCCCTCCGCTACTTGCGGTAAGCTTGGCAACTTCCACAAGACCACCGTCAAGGCCGGTCAGACCTTGACCATCATCGCCGAGCGCTACAACTCGGGTATCTGCGACATCGCGTGGCAGAACAAGCTCGCCGACCCCAACGTCATCTACGCTGGCCAGGTCCTCCTCGTCCCCGTCGACGTCTGCGTGCCCGACAACACCTCCTGCATCAAGCCTTCTGGCACCGCTACCTGCGTCACCGGCGGCGCTGCCACCTACACCATCAAGTCCGGTGACACCTTCTTCGTTGTTGCCCAGAGCCTCGGCATCACCACCGACTCTCTGACCGGTGCGAACCCCGGCGTCGTCCCTGAGAGCCTCCAGGTCGGCCAGGTCATCAACGTTCCCGTTTGCTAAATGCTCCCTGAGCTTTTGACAAGGAACTCACGCACTTGATGTTTCCTTTGAAGTAGGCATTACTGAGGTTAAAAACAATCAATAGACGAAGCATTTCCTGGCATATTTCTCATCTTGCGTGACGTGATCAACATCAATGGTCTCTGTTAAAATAGTCCTTTACAACAGTCATCAAAGCTCCAGAGGAGTCTTCTCCTATCCTGGGCAGCAAAGAAATAGACCCCCAACGCATACTAGAAGTCACGACAGTCGTTTTTATGATAGTAAATGCTTGTTGAGGTCAAGGAGTAAAATATGCGAAAAGGACTTCTCGTGTTTGTGACAAGCCAATCAGGTCCATCCAAATTTGAGCTTTCTCTCTTGTTCTCAAGTTCACGCTTCGTACAGTGGATCACCTGTGAAGATTCCTCCGTGGGCTCTATTCATATGATCATAGCAAGGCTTCGAATCATCGAAAGCCTCCAGACAAACCCAGCAGATATGTGCTTTGCAAGCTGTGCAGGTCATGTGATTGCAGCCGTACGACTTTTGAATCGAGGTGTTGCATCTAGGACAGTCTTTGATCCCCAGCTGCTTCTTGACTTTCTTGAAGTTCCTGTCAGCAGCCGCAGCTGCTCCTGAAGTGACGTATGTATGCTCGGCACAAGTCTTGCCATGGTGGTCGACATTGCATGATGCGCAAATAACTTTCGAGCATCCTCGGCAACTGAAGATCTTGGCCAACAATGTTGGTCTGTATATGGTTTGGCAATCTGGAGTGGGACACCATCGAAACTCAGCTGGGTGCCTTTTGATGTGATTCGTTACCGCGGAATCCAGAAGCTCTTCAAAGGTAATCGAGGGCAAGCAGTCTTGAAGTTCCTGCAGTGAGAATGAGGCATTGCAAACCCCCTCGTCAGCCAGACAGCGAATCCCCGATTCACCGCTGCTGACGGACGATTTGCAGAAGTTCTCGAAACAGTCGCGACAGTACACATGCCCACATTTGACTTTGAGTGGATTCTCGGCAGTTGTCCAACATACCGGGCAGCATTCCGCTTCCGTTGAAATGTCATGTTCCTGAGGTAGTCGTCTTTTTGTCACGATATCTATCGCTGTGTCGAAAGAAGCCAGTGGTCCGATGATCTCCAACCTCTTGGGTGTCTCAAAGATGTTGAGGGACACGGCTTCTTGGCCCAGCACTTTGCAGATAGCTTTGAACCCCCCTCTGATGGCCCAGTGCAAACTCTCGGGGGTCAAAGGTATGTAGTGGATTGTGGAAGGATTGTCACTGAGAGACTGTAGCAATGCGTCGCAAGCTTTCTGCGAGGCCTCGAACGAGCCAAAAACATGGATCTCGGCTTTGGATGGGACGCATTGAAACGCGACCTTGTGTTGCTTCTCAATGGGTCGAAGCCGTCGGTTTGCCAGCGGTTTATTGTGAAAGGATGAACTCCAGAGGGGCTTCTTGCCGTCGGCGTCGTACACTAAACTTCCTTCGAGAAGTTTGTCAGTGTGCGTCTCAGCTGCCGCGAGATCGTCTCTCCTTTCACTCTCGAGTCTCAGTGTAACGTAGCCATTTGCCGATGGAAACCTCTTGAAGTTGACTCCTTTCTTGCGAAAACTCTGGGCAATTTTCTCGAAATCTACTAGAATCGCGCTGAAGATATGATTTGCGACCTTGTATGTCGCAGAATGAAGTCCAATGATGCTGAGTTTGTCGGCCTTGTTGAATGGCAACGGCATAGATCGGAGCAACTCAACGGCAGTCAGAGCGTCAGCCTCATCTTGGAAACGAGCCATGGCCTTAACTCGTTTGCCATCCGGATCTGCATTCGCCGTGAGTCTCATCTCCAATGGCCCAATACCAACGAGCAAAGCTTCGACCATGTCAACCTCGCTCTTGGTGTTGTCCAGGTCCTGGGGCCCCTCGAGTTCCACACTTGTGGGCCGCTGCCTCTGAGGAATCATGTTCAGGATGTCGGTCTTCGTAGCTTGCGGTGGAATATACAGCGTCAACTTCGGTGACGAACCGTTTGAATAACTCCCTCCCAGTGTGCACCCCCATCGATGCAGTAATGTGCTCGACCTCGGAGCGCAGGAAACCTTTGTTCCAAGGACAGTGTATGCACCAGTTCCGAAGTTGCTGCGGACTTCACTCTCCACAGATTCTGAGCGAAAGGTGAGACACGCCAATTGCTTTGGTTTATGCCAGGAGCAAATGACTTTCTTGCGATTCACCCTGTGGGTGAATCCCTTGTTGGTATCGAGATTGAGAGGCTTCTGAACTTCGGCCTTCAACCCGGGAAATCCACATACGTCTTCGATATCAGGTTTCTTCAATCTTTCGCAAAGGGACTGTGCAAAGTCGGGGTCTTCTACTCGGATGATGGCGCATATCAAGCCTCCTAAGCCATGGGGTCTTATGCGAATGGCGGCACTCGGGACTTCGAACCCCAATCGACTCAGGAGTCGCGATACGGCTGCAACATCGCTTCGAGCGGGTAGGTCGAGGATGCTGGCCGTGGAAAAGTCGGAGAAGAGCGAAACCTTCTCGACGGATGCGCCTGAGCCAAAGTTTACCCAGGCACCTAACAACTCTCGCATGCACTTCTCTTCAGGCTTGAGGGGCTAGGAATGGTTGGAATTAGTATTCTCAGATAGTTGGTGGGTCTAAGATAGCTCACATACCATAACCTCATTAGCGGACAATCCCGCTTCTGTTACGACTTCGGTATGAGAAAAGGGGCAGTTGACCCCATTTCTACAATGTCCCTTTGCCAAAAAGGCGCAGGCGATATTGGAGCGGGAGTCTTCCGCTGCTGGTCCAGTAGACTCTAAGCCTTTCAATGCAGACTCGGGAGACGGCCGGAGTTGAGAATTATGAGGGAACACGCATTTATCGCCCCTGGAACAATAGCCTCTTGCAAAGAACTTGCAGATCGTCGGCGAAATGGCCGGATCAGTCGCCTCAGATCTTGACCGTTCCCTGAGCCCTTCATGAACGAACGGGCAGTCGGATCCCGAGCGGCAATGTCCTCTGAGATAGAAATGGCATCTCGTGGCTGGTGATGGAGCCGCTTTTCGAGTTCTGGTTTCCAATAAGCTGGCCATCGTACAGTCATTTACTTTACTTCTTGATAACAGCTGTCAGAATGGGCTTCAAGGAGGTTGAATTGCGCGATGATTTGCTGATGGAGCATGCCATTCAGAGCCACAACACAGGGATAAACAGAGCGGAAATACTTCTAAGCGAGCAGTGTGAGATATATGTATTTCATTGAACAGCAGATTACTCCTCATAATTGCTTGATGAGGGGTAATCCCAAGTACGACCAGTCAAAGAGCCACATGAAAATCTCAACGCAGGCTTGATGCAGGGCAGAGGCAAATGCAGGAGGCCAACCAAGCCATTAGAGTTCAACAAATCATGTGTCGGTACCCCTTATTACTTTGTGTATGGGCACAATGGGGCATCTTCATAAGACCTACCCACATCGGTCATTAGCTTTTCCGTTGACCATTGATTCGAAAGAATTAGAGCACTGCTGCGATATGGCGAATGACATTAAAGCACTGTTGAGATCTTCCGTCACCCAATTAGCTGATTTCTCCAAATCACAGACTTAACAAGTAAATCCAGACAACGAGCGTCAGCTGCTTGAATCAATATGCCCAAGAAAGGTCGTCTCTATTGAGCCATGGGCTAGAAACGCTTATTTGTTCCCCACATGATGATCATCAACACTCCGTCAAGACTTCGAAGCAGACTGAAGAAAGTGTTTCACGACCTTCTCAATATTAACAGGCCCGTACCTTTCTTCCTCGATGCTGATATTTTTATGCTTCAAGTCCTCTACAATTTCTGTTGCCGACATTCCCAAAGCATCGATAAATTTGTGAATCATCGTGATTCTTGTAGAGTACCAATCCTTGTCAAACGGTCCAGCTAAGCGTGCAGTGGCTCCATTATGGTATTCGTGCTCAATCCAAGCAATGTATGTAGCCATAGAAGACTTGATTTCTCTCTTCAGAGTTGGCTCAGCCGTATCAACAGTAATGGAGTGATGGAAGTAATCCCGTTTGCAATCCACTTGATAGTCTTCCTGCTCCACCTGAGATCAGCACTGCTGTGAGATGAAACATTGGAAAAGGGTTCATAATACCTTGACTCTACTAGTCGCTGTCGCCAGTTTCTTGGCCGATTCACTTTCCTCCTCCTCGACCAATTTGTCAAATCTCCTCGTCATCTGATCAAACCAGTCGTTGAGCAGGTCCTCATAACTCTTGGCATTTGATTCCTCCATCTCGTTTTCCAGAATATCAAGAAACTCGGACTCCTCGTCGATTATAGCGTCGATGTCTTCATCTTGAAGGCGTACTGGCCGGGACGAATCAGTAAAGCCGTAGAGGCCATCTGATAAATGCCGCTGAAAACAAAGGTGGGACATTCCAAGCTCCTCATGCTTCTCCCATTGAAGGAAAGAAAGCAGCAAATCTTTTCCTTCTTGCTCTCCTCTATATTCTATCGTCACACACAGAAGCTCTATTGCCCCGACCAAAGGCTTGCCCCATCTACTCTGCCAGCAAAAGCTGGAAGAATTAATCAAGTCAATAGCCGATAGACGGCCACCAGATGAACAGGGGCATACGCAGTCATCTGTACTGAAGACATCCGCACCTCGGGCCAGCAGTATCCGCATAATCTCCATGGCAGTCCAGAACACGTGATATGTATTATTTGGAACCTCACTGAGAGCGAAGTGTAGTGCTGTCCGGTGATGCAGATCTTTGAGTTTGACATCAGCCCCAACTTCGATCAGCTTTTTGACCAAGTCAGGTTCGCATAACTTGGTGGCAACCATCAGTGGAGTTTGGCCATGGCTGTTCATGTGATTGAATAGCTCAAACCCATTTCCCAGCAAAGCCTCAAAGTCTGTGATGCTGGTTCTATAATGTAGCAGACAATTGTCTCTAGTGCCAAGAGTCATGTCATCGAAAGTGAAGTTAGCTGTACTACACTTCATCAAAAGCTGATGAAGAGAGATTTCGTAATTCTCATTCCAGCGAGGGTATACGACATGATAAAGAATGACTGCGTTTTGGACCCAAGTCTCCACAATCCCGTTTTCGGCGAGGTCTTCGGTGAGGTCTTCGAGTAGAAGAAGGAAATTGAGGATAAACCTCCAATGCCTCCGGGTGGCAGCGTAGTATATAAAGTCGCGTCCATATGTGGTATCGACAGCGTTGATGCTGGCTCCGGCTTCTATGAGAAGAATGGCAGATTCGGCTTGATCTGCTGCAGCAGCGTACATTAGGGGCGTGATGCCGTGGATATCAGTGCTGTTCACGTCGTGTCCCGCCTCGATGAGTGCACCCATGCATTGAGGATCAGCAACAGCCAGGTGAAGGGGTGTCTGCCCAAGGCTGTTCTTTTCGTCTTTTCTAGACTTGGAGATCCACTTGACTACTACATCTGTCGACTCAAGTAATATAGCTTCGTGGAGGGGCGTCATTCCAGCGAATCCTGCGTGTCACATGTTAGTGACCATCTGACTTCATATCCTTTGCCACTCCTCTTTAAATTTACGAGCAATTCAGCTAGATATTGAACTTTCCTTGGTTATGTTTGCACACAATTCCGAAGTATTCAATGAAAAAAGGGTCAGGGGTGTGCGCTTCTGAGATCCAGTTCGGTGATGACAGTTGCGGCCAGTCTTGGAAATCACCAACAACTTCGGATACGTCGTAACCCAGACCCAGAAGAATTTCCAACAAGTCCAAGTGTGGGCCTTCTCCAATCCACATTGCGCATTGGACAAGAAACCTGTAACGATAAATCAGTGATCACGGCCATTGCTCGTCCTTCCGATCCTCGAGGCTGACTTACGTCGCACTTTCAGTCCCTTTTGTCACTCTAAATTCTTGCATAAAGAGTCTTAGTAGTTTCCATTGGATCTGGTTCTTCCCCATCTGCCACGGGTACCTTAGAAGTTCCTATCGCCGTCTATCAGGAGAAGGCCGCAACTTGAGTTCTGGCATACTCACCTCGATGTAGGACTTCCCTCCTGGATTCACATGACGCTTGAAACCGTATGGATCTGCTTCGTGGAGCTGCCTCAGGCTTCTGCTAGCCTCTTCAAAGCTCATCCTGTAGGTTGCGCACCTCCATATGATTTCGAAACCTGGCGATGTGTACGGCACAATTTGCTCCACTTCGAGACTCGGACGAAGGGAGAATTTGCCTGTAGCTATGATGGCATAGATCTCAAGGTCCACTGCCCACTTTATGCCGAGCTGCGAGAGAGCGAGCCTTACCGAAGCTCCGTATTTGGTCGTGGTGCAGGTCTCTAGGTCGCAGCTCTGCTGGAAAGTACCCCAAGGGGTATACTCTAGGGCCCAGAAGCGGCTCTTTGTCCTGCTCTTGCGATGGCAAACACAAGAGCACAGTCTCGAAAGACAATTTCGATTAGGTCTGGCCCTGAAATGCTCTCTTTTTGACACTGTACCAACTGAGGCAGTTAGAGATTGGGTTGGGTCTGAAGCAGCAGTCGGAACCAGCTTTGAGGCCGGCTCCCCAGGAGGACCTGCTGTTTTTATTGAAGTCTGAAGCTGACTGACTAAATTCAGTTCATTCAGCTGGTTCGAGGTCCTGGAAGTAGTGATCCTAATGGTGACTATATGTTAGCTATGTGTAAGTGCACAGCAGTTGAGGCGCATTCAAATCCTCAAAACACGCACAGAATCAAGTTGATCTTTGCTCCCTGGATGCTTCGCTGTAGAGCCTCAACATTCTCTTTCCAATCGCGAAAGGCGAGGAGCTTGAGCGCGCTGGCCTTCGTAGCGCTTTTCGATGTTCGCGGTATTTTCGTGATCAGCGACTTCATATCGCGAACAACTTGGTCACAGTCCGCTTGGCAGTGTTGAATGACAGAGTCATTGAGGCTCGAGGCATGCGTGATAACGTCCTGCATGACATGTGTCAAGAGATCCAGCTCGCGGATGAGGGTGCTGGTGTTGGTCGCAGCCTTGCCCGCACTGTCGCGGATAGCTCGCAGCTTGCTGACACCCTCACCGATCTGCACCGAGAGGGACACAAAACCTGCCACACCGGCAGCAATTCCGAGTTCAGCCATGCTTTGAGACGATACGTCGAGTGGAAAGAAGACAGATTTCCGAGGCCATGCCAGCGCGGGGAAGAACCATGCTCTCGAAAGGTCGATAGAAAGTCTGGTGAGAATCGAGGGCGAGAGGTAATGTCAGGCAAAATCAGAAATCAGGCTCTGCGGTAGTCTGCCTTGGGATTTGCCCTGTGTGCTGCGCCTTCAGAAGAACTGGGCGAGCTCTTCAAGCCAATCGCATCATCGCCGTGCTTCTGGACCTCGTACCAACGTGACACGTCACATAGCTAGGCGCCGACGAGCATTCGCGAATGATTGGCCGCAATTAGTAGAGGAAAACATCGAGAAGCCTAGCAAAATATCTCATGGTGTTCGAATTGTCTCTAACCAGTCACTGCAGGGAACAGTCCTTCTTGAGTTATTGGCATTGGAAGAAAAAGCGTGTAGACAAGAAGAGCTCTGGGGAAATGTACTTTCAAGAAATCTGGGACGCCACAGATATCCCTTTTTTCCATACATCTTAAATTTGAAATCTCCCAAATATACCAACCACATTGGATTGGTAGGGTCCGCCGAGAAAAGAAAGTCGATCAAGATTTGCGACATCGAAAGAGTCTTCCGAGGGCGGCTCCTGGTGGGCCGGTTGAAAAGGCCGCGTTTGTGGAGACAATGTATGGACATGCGGCCCCGGTCTTGATCTCAGCGGGATCGAAAACGGAAATCAATCTCGTGATGCTGCACGGACTTCACGTTTCCGAAAGATCGAGAACAAGAAGCAGTCTCAGTATCTACGGAGTTTTGAAGCTCTCTAAAGATAAGATGTTCGCATACCTCCATGACTAACCGCTTCACATTGTCCGAACCGTCCATCTACCTCTTACTCGTCTTCCTCCGTGGTCGCAGACCGAGCCTTTGGTCCCTTCCGTGGCCGAGTCTCATCGCTTTGGCAGGTGGCTGGATCGCGCCCACAACCTGGGGGACCCCGATTCGCACGATCCACGAGCTCTATACCTTCTTCGCGAGAAATGATTGCCGCTCGCGTCAGAAGTCGTGCGGGAGACGCAACAGCAATAGCAGGGGCCTGGAAGAACCCACCATTAGCATGATGCGATTCAATTCTGACAGTGAATTGCATATAAGAGTTAGATGAGGACTCATACTAGTGTTGCCAGGGCGAGGGCTGAATTCATGGAAAGGCCCAGTCCCAGAGCTCCAACGCTTCCCAGAGCGCTGATACTGGTTAGGAGAAGAGCTTGAAGCTGCATTGTGTTTTCTCGGTGTTCGTGGATGGTAGCGGTTTGTGAAATCAGGTCCAAGTAAGTCAAAAGAGTTGTCGGTTGCTAGTGATGCCAAAATTAATCTAGGCGTCAAGACAAGGGCGCGACTCTCGAGGACCTATATAGACCACCCTCAAAACTCTAACTCAGTGATGCCGTCAAAACCTCTCCATGTTACTCAATGGTCATACCTAACTTACTCGCGATATCGCAGTGGCCCAGATCGAGTAGTCCTGTTTAGCGAGCATCGTTCGAGTGCAAGTTCGATTAAGCTTTCCTTCGGCGCTCATTGATTCGTCAATCCTGGCGGTGTAAGCTTGTACCACGATGTTGTTGTTCGAGCACTGTCCCAGTAGCGCCTTTAGAGCGTTCGAGGAGGCTGGATCATAAAACAAACAGAGTCAGAGACGCTAGCGCCCATCAGGGTGAAACCACACTACGGAAATATTTAAGCTTTGACTTGACTCAACATGTAGCCGTAACGATATCTCGGGTATCAGACTGTAGAGTCAGGAGAGAAACGCGTAAGAGCCGCTTGGCATCCATAATGAGGCATCGATTGTTACACAGAGTTCTCGAAACCTCAACATCGGCGTCGGTCATTTCACTCGGCCGTAAACAGCTGCCGAAGCTGCAATCATTGTCTCATTGTGCTCGATGATGATCCATTGAATGCTTGGGTAACGCATTAGAAGACTTCTTCTTTGCAAGACCACCTGTCGTCTTTCTATAGAATGGTCTTGATCTTACACACTTTTGTATGACTAGGAAATATTTTCCATGGCCTGTATATCATCTAATTACACAACGTGAAGGACTGGCAGACGTTTAGGCTCATCCAATTTATCAAGACCAGCTGGAAGCCCTCTCGTCCGAAAGACAGCAATCCTCTCAGCTTTGCTGCCTTTGTCCATGGCCTACCAACAAAACCCATTTCACCTCGAGATCTGCAAATTTTTGACTCCCTTGCACGATGAAAGGTTTATGCAGACGAATCAGGCCTTTACATCTAGCAGAAATAGTTGACAAGTCCATACTACTACTAGTTAACGCTTCAAAACATTCAGAAGTGCGTGATCTACTTTGGAGCTCTTGCATAATTCTAAATGCACGGAAAGAAGTGGTATCGATGTTATACAACAGACATTTCTTCTATCCTTATTATCATCCCGCCGACTCAGGCTTTCAACTTTGTGCCGCTAACAAAAACAACAGACCTCTCAATTTCAAATGGGCCACCTCCATACTTCTTCCTCAAATACTCGACAATTTCAGGCTTCAACTTGTGCCTCAATTTCTCCTTCTGCTCCGCGGACCAGTATCTCTCAATGCTTCCCGTAAATAGTGCCTCGAAAATTGTACAGAACTGCTCAGGATCTCTGAAAGTGATGGGCTTGGGCAAGGTCTCTGATTTGATTTCGATAAGCCCCGAAGCATTATACATGGCAGCCGCGAAATAGGGATCCTCCCATGCGCCCGGCGACCAGAGGCCAGTCAAATGGCATGACTTTTGCGGCCACGGAACCGGTTGTTGCCCGGGGATGCCCAAGTTTGCGACGGCGTCACGGGTGTCATAAACCCAGCCTTCTGTTGCCCAAGTGGAGCTTGCGATGCGGCCGCCTGGTTTGAGGACGCGGTAAAGCTCTACTCATGAATTAGTAACGGGGCAGAAGAATGCGGTGATCTTTGATTTCGAACGTTACAGGCTGACGTACCTGCTAGACCTGCGTAGGGCTCTGCAACAACCATCAAGGCCATGCCAACCACAATGAAGTCAAAGCTGTTCGACTCGAATGGTAGGCTCTACTGTAAGTTAGCGCGATGCCGTCATGCCGTAGGCCAACCAGAGTTCACGTCGAACAGGACACTCAGTTACACGTGTAGGGAAGAAACCTACTGCAATATCCGCTTGGACTACGGTCGTATCCGTCCAGCCATCCTTTCCAACTCGGCTCCTAACATGCTCGATCTGACCACCACTAGAATCAGAACAAGTCAACTTTACAAGTCCCTTCCCTTCCTGGCCCGTCATCTTCAGCATCTCATGGATACGGGCAGAGACCACGCCCGCACCACAGCACATATCAAGGACCTCAACGGGCTTGTCGAGCGAAGCAATCTTGTTCTCTGTTAGGCCGCAATAGTCCAGCAGCGGCTGTGTGATCGGAAAAGTGATGTACTCGGTGTTGCGGTAAATGTTCCCAACTCTGGGGTTCCGCCAGAACGAGGTGTGGTTGGCCCTGTCTCCGGCTGGGTCTAGGGCCGCGGGGCTGAGGAAGAGCTTGGACTGGCCGGATGTTCCCTGGCTTGAGTGAGTATAGGATGCCATGGCGACTTGACAAATTAGAGGTATCGGGAAGCGATTGGGCTTGATTTTAGGATTTGGGCTCGTGTTCGTGTTCACGTTGTAGATGAGGATTGAGAAGCTGGATACGACGTGTAGCAGGACGGCAGCTCGTACATGTATGTTCGCTCCTGTGTCCGTGCTATCATGGGATTATGAGGCTTTCTACGGTCCCGAATGCGAAGTAAAAAGGCGATAACGTAGATGAGGGTGAGAAGTATTTACATGTGCAATACAAACTCCAGAGGTTAAAATGATGGGTATGCTACCAGACCACTTCACGAAACTAGATTCAAGATTGATAAAGGTGCGCGGAACTAAAGCCTCCTTCCAAAGGCAAATCAGTGTGTTTGGAGCTAAAGACCGATGGCCCGCCGACTCGCTAAATGTTATCTTTGGTTGGGGCCAGGGGAATACTAATCGGGCCTGGACTCCAATAATAGATGCAGCATCGCGTCGTGTGTGCAGATGATGGGATGAAGATGGCCCGAGGTGATAACTTAAGCTATGAGAACGAGCGAGTTTCCTGTGGACTGCTACAACTGTCTATGGACTTTGACAAGACCTGTCGCTCCGAAGTAAATGCGCACCTGCACCTACGGATACCTCTCGGCGATTCCCGTTAATTGCCGTTAAGCATATGCTAAGCCCTAGCTTCAATAAGCTATCGGACTGTGAGAAAGAAGAGCCGAGAGGGCAACCAGTTCATCGCGGGGGTAGGTTTGTTAGTTATGTGTGAGAGTTTAAGCTTAAGTGAGGTGGAGGAGTGCCTCCGCAGGGCTCCGGTAGGTAAGAGGCCACAACTTGTTAAGGAGTGGGGGATCGGGGATGCTCGGGGGCGGTGGTCAGCACTTAGGTACTTCCCGACGGCGCTTTTCGTAAGAGCCCGCCAATTATATCCCGGGACACGATGACGTCTATTTTATTTCGTCAAGCTGCCGCACATGCTATGCAAAACTACTGCGTACTAAGTAGACATAACGCATATACTGCTCGACTTGTCAGAATACGAAACCAAAAAACCTCAACAACATCCACCAACTTGAAAGTCTGTTATGGGAAACGGCTAATCCTCATTTAGTACTATGAACAAGCCTGCGTGGACAGCGGAGCTGGTAGAGTAGCTATTAGAGAAGACATTCTCTACCAAATCCCCGGCTACACAATCGATCAAACTATTAAGTAGACTTTGACGGGTGTAGGATATGCCAAAACCATAGGATGGGCCACGTTTGACTTATATATAACGGGTACCATTAATAATAAACCCTACTCCGCCGTTCTATATATGGGAGCATAGGTTTTAAAATACCTTTAAGCCGGTATCTTAATAGGTCAGGAGTTTAACGTTCTAAATAAGGTAGATATCCTTAACTTAGAAAGAAAAATCCGTATTAGAAGCTATAAAAACCTAGAAATTCCTATAGTAATAGATATTTTAAGGTAGCTCTTGATCCTACACTACCCCTTACATTATCGTATACTATCTAGACCTTATATTTTAGATTATAACCTAACCGTTATAGCCGTACTAGAGGTTTATAGAGGCCTATTATAATAACTTTCGGCTTTTTAAAGATTAAGAATGTTTACGAGAGAGGAAGTAACTTATAGTTAATACTATATAGTACGTATTTATAACTAGCGGAATTTATAATAGAATAGTTAAACGCCAGTATAAGTTATAGATAGAGCAAAAGACCGTAATAAAAATTAATTTCTACATTCCGATTTAATTAGGTCGGCTAAGTTATATAATACTACTTTTATTTTTAAGATTAAAAAGAGATAGGCCTATAATATAAAAGCTCTAACATAATACCCGAACTACTAACTAGCTTTATTATTCTATATATCTCCTAATTATCTATATTTAAGTCCTAAGCTACATCCCTTAAAAGTCTACTCTCTACCGTATTAATATTATAGTTTATAAAATAAAATAAGTATATTTCGGCCGCAAGGCCGGTCTAGAACGACGTTTTATATATAATATCTTTTAAGTATTTTTAAGTAAGGATAATTGCTACTAAGATACGCGAATACCAACGAGCCTTTATTATAAAAGACTTTTCTAATCGTTAAAAACCCCGCTTTAAGTAAATTAAATTATTATAAAGTACTACTCTATTAATATTAGCTTATAATAATAAGTGGTATAGGAAAATTGCTAAATTTAAAGGGAAATTTTATATATCGTTATTAATAAGTAGGACTCTCGTAAGCATATATTTAATTAGCCCGGTAATAAGTTATAGAGAGAGAGGGTAAGTATAGAATAGTTTAAATCGGTCTACATCTAGTATTATATTAGCCTATTAATTAAAAATAGCTAGCTGGTTATAAGCGACGACGGTTTAAATAGGCGATAATAGCCGGCATTAAAAATAATAATATAAAGAACGATATATTTATACTTTTAATTAGTATAATAATTAGCAAGTATTTGTAAATAAACTAAGCCCCTCAAGATATATAAGTTTAGCAACTAACTCTATTTAATATAGGCGGCTAAAGAGCTAAAAATAAACGTTTCTAAAGTACTTAAATAGATTATAATTAAATTAAAAAGATATTATAGCTAAGATAGAACCTTGCCGTATATTAAGCATATATTTCGATATTTTTAAGCTTAATGACCTACTTTTAAGGTTTATAAAATAGGCTAAAAAGTAGTAAGATATAGTTATCGACGTCTTACGGTAGGAGGCTATAGTACTTTATTATAAGCTTAAGGCGATATAGTAGTTACAGGAAGTTATTACCGGTTTTATATATAAGCTTATAGATCTAGTCGATTAATTAAAAAAGCTATTTAAAAAATCTTAATCGTATATAAATAAAAAAGAACGGACTACTTAACCAATTATACTATATTTTAAACTATTAAAGCAAGGCGTTTTAACGGTCTGATCTATATTTACTTTATTAAAATACTTTAGTTAGTTTTAGATATAAGAATATATAATTCTACTAGCCTCGAGAAGACCGAAGTAGCCGGTAACGAGAGAAGCCCTAGTATAAGGGCTAGAGCCTCTTTAAAGTTATAGGATTCTTACTTATATTCGCTTATATTATTAAAGTACGTAAACTCTAGCCGGTTTTTTTTTAGGCTGCTTTTGGCTCTTACTTAGGTCTTTTATTATTTGTCTAGACGGTATAGTAGTTTGTTTTTTTATCCTCTTAAGTAATTATACGTTATAATTAGTAATTATAAAGGATAGCGATTATTTCCCTCTTTAGTACGATAATAACGAGTAGTTTAAGAACTATACCGTATCTAGATATAATTAGATAGTATTAAAGAACGATAAAGAAATAAACTAGTAGTAGTCTCTTTTAATAAAGATCTTCTTATAGCTCTTACTAATAGGCTATATTATATTCTTATTTACGTTTACGTTATATTAGCCGTTTTTAACTGGATTTTATTAGTTTTTTATTAATAAAGCAGTAGACCTATACTAATAAACTCGTTAATTAGATTTTTATCCACTATTTTAAATATTTATATAGTTTATAGAGGTTAATGGTCGGCGACGTTAATAATTATAATATTAGTGATAGGCGTGGTTTTTCGTTTTATATATTTTATTTAGAGTATATTAGTATTTATTAGATAGCCTACGTTATATACCGGAATAATTTAACGTCTTATATCTCTTTTAAAATATATAAGAGATCTAGGGGCCCACCCGAAAAAGTAAAAGATATATTAGGTAGTTAAAGCTAGATATATAATGTAGGCTAGCTAATAACTCACTTGAATTATATACTATCTTATATATATACAGAATAGCTAAATGCTTATTACCCTTTATCGCAATGGATTTTTGCCCTAAATATAGGTCGGATAGGGAGCTTATGCTATAGCTACCTTAACCTAAATAGGTATGGCCCTGATGAATTTAGTAAGTATATTAGCTATATATACAGAAGAATGCTTCGATATACTTACTTAAATAGAAATACCGCTGAAGTAAAGCTACTAGTATAGGATTATATTTAAATAGAGCCGCCTATATATAAATATACCTAAATAGAGTCGCCCACGTATAAATATACTTAAGTAGAGCCGCTTATATAAAAACGCACTTAAGCGTAGAAAGGCATATACGGATTTTTATATAAACAAAGACGTATATATAGGAGTCCTTTTAAATAGGTTTTATAAATAACTTATATAAAAAGACCTATATCCAAATCGCTACCGCTAGGGTTCGTTATTACTGCGTCTCGAAATAGCATTTACTATATAGCGGTAATTATATTTTATATCCGCTTATTATCTTTAATTAATATAGCGATTAAAAAATAGGCCTAGCAAGAGATACATAATATATTACTTTTTACTATATTCTTTCTTACTACCCAAAATATTTATAATCTTACCGAGTCTATGTTATAACTAAAAAAACTAATCTTTCTAACTTTTTTTTCTATTACGAATATAGAAAAAGATGCTAGATATACGTTAGCGACTAACTTAGTATAGTATTATATTAGACTAACCTTACTTAATTTGGCCATAAATAATATAGTTATTATTATTAAAAGGAAGTTTATAACTTCCGGGTCCTACTATTCCGGGTCGTCTAGCCCTAAGTTAGCGCCCTCCTTTATATATTTTTATATTAGTTTTATTATTATATAGCCTAAGTTAACTAAGTTTTTCCTATAGCTAAGTAGTCGATAATCTTCCTAGCCGCCTAGATACCCTAATTAGTACTAGATTCGCTAACGGACTAGAGACTAGGTATTATTTAGCTTTACCTTTCCGCTAAAATAAAATAAAATATACAAGTAACTAAAATAGTTGTGCTATAGTCCTATTTTCTTAAAGTAAACTAGCACCTTAACTATCTATCTACTTATAAGAAAACGTAAATTATTATAATTTTATAAGAAGGATTATATAACTTGCTCTATAATTACTACTAAACGTTAGCAATTAAAATATAGATTCCTAACGGCCTCTTATAGCG